GTAGAAAATGTTCTAAACTTGAAAGAAATATCTAGTAACTCTATTTGGCAAAGTGAATACTGTGACACTTGTCCAAGTAAACCCAGAATGCACATGGGAGATTGTTACCAAAGATATCGCACCATGGTGAATTACAGAACTTAAAATTTATCTTTTATTTAGAATAAGGAAATGTATATTTATAAAATAAATCAAATCAAATGCATTCACAAAAGGACGTGTAATCTTTCCCGCTCAAAATAAGACTTTATCTCAGGCGCTCCGCTCCAAAAATGTGCCGGAGTTGCTAGTAGGCAGTACTCGAGAAACGCGCGAAGCGCTAAGCGTTAACAAATGCAAAAAAATTTAATTATCTATAGCTGAAAATAACTATTTTTTAAATATTTTTGGTGAAAATTTCATTGCAATATCTTTGATGGTTCAAAAATTATAACAGTATGTTACTGAATTTCTCGATTCAGCCCATTGTGCGCCGCGACGCGCCGCGCCGGTTCTTTGTCGGAGCGGTTGCGTTATTACATATTTATGGTAAAACGGTCCAGCCGTGGTTCACGGAAAAAGCGCAGGATTCGAAAATGTCAGCCTCCGCGGAGCCCGTGCCGCGAGGCGACGCGGATTCTTCCTAGAAACAGAACGCGAGACGTGTTTTCACGCCTGGCTTCTCGGTGCCGGCTTTTACGTAACAAGGCTTCGGATTCTTGCGACTCGCTGCTCGATTAGGTTTACCGCCGGCGAACGTTTTCACGCCGATTATGTAAACAAACAATGGGTCCAGTTTCGCGCGACGCCGGTGTTGCATGCAAATGCTTGGGAAACTTCGTGGTACTCCGCGATACCGTTGACTATAGAAACGACACACGCTTATGGCCACCAGTGTGATTCATTCGAGACATTGAAAAACACTTTTGACGGTTTCGATGGATCCCTTTCGCTTCGACACGATCGCGGACCGTTGTGTTATGGAGATTCGAGAGGCAATGAATTCGAGGGAATTTCGTTGCTTTCGGATTTCGAACCGTTGCGCTGTAACAACGAGGCGGACACGCGATGCAAGATTTCGGAGACAATCTAGTAGAAACGAATGTTATCAATTTCTTCGAAATCGAAAGAAAATTTGATGCTTCTGTTATTAACCCTTTGCACTCGAGTGGTGACTCTGAGGCACCATTAAAAAATTATTACATCACGTTCCAAAATAATATTTGTATTATCAAGATTATCAAGATATTATCAATATTTATATTCGCAAGACTCGATTTCATATGCATGAAATACACTTTGTCGTGTAAAATGGAAATACTATGAGTCAGAAAAGTTCATTTAGGTTTACAGTTAAAATGGCTTCGAGTGCGAAAAGTTAAAACTTAGGAATGAAAATGTACGATACAATGAATGGAAAGACGAAAACTGTCTCGTTCGATTAAGGAATTTATTAAGGACGAAGAACTGCTGATTGACGTAGCTGTTTGAGAAATCGTGGCCGTACCAAAAATTATATCTCTTAGAGAATAGAATTCTCTTAGAATTCTCTAAGATTCTAAGAGAATAGAAGAGAATAAAAGATTCTCTTAGAATCTTCTCTGAGAGAATTTAATTATGTTAATTACAAAGCTGTTTGAGAAATCGTGGCCATACCAAAAATTATATCTCTTATGGAATAGAATTCTCTTAGAATTCTCGAAGATTCTAAGAGAATAGAAGAGAATAGAAGATTCTCTTAGAATCTTCTCTGAGAGAAGAATTCTCTTAGAGAATTTAATTATGTTAATTACAAAGCTGTTTGAGAAATCGTGGCCATACCAAAAATTATATCTCTTATGGAACAGAAATCTCTTAGAATTCTCGAAGATTCTAAGAGAATAGAAGAGAATAGAAGATTTTCTTAGAATCTTCTCTGAGAGAAGAATTCTCTTAGAGAATTTAATTACGTTAATTACAAAGCTGTTTGAGAAATCGTGGCCATACCAAAAATTATATCTCTTAGGGAATAGAATTCTCTTAGAATTCTCTAAGATTCTAAAAGAATAGAAGAGAATAAAAGATTCTCTTAGAACCTTCTCTGAGAGAAGAATTCTCTTAGAGAATTCGATTACGTATGGAAAACTGAAATAATGCGAAAAATGAACAACACGTCCTGATCTTTTTTGCTACGTACATAATCAAATTATACGTTTGCAACGTATGGAACAAAATATACGATTCTAATATCGTGGATATCTCGATATTCGTCCTCGAATTCGACGGCTGCCCCAAGACTTGCAATTAAATTTCGCCGAAGCGCTTATTTTATTTCGACGCGGCTGGTTGCGAGAGCTACGATGCATAAAATCGATAGTATCTTCCGAACGAGAGCGAAAAGAGAAAGATCACTACTACATCAGAAGGTGTACAGCGCGATGCTCGCGTCGACATCGCCTCGTACGCGACGCAGAAACTCGACACGAAGCGTCAAATATTTAGATTTGATTTAAGATTTATCTGCAATCTCGCAACGCCAAGGCCGTGCCACCGTTCAGGTTCCAACATAATCTCGATTCGCTACTCTCCGACTACTCGGAATTCGATGGAAAACTCTGTTTACCCGGGCACGATATTTAATAAGATACCGCTTCCGGGATCCCCCTTCGGAACTGCAGCTGCACCGAAAACTCCGCACCCCGGTGTCGATTGTGCGATGTATCGTGCAATAAAGAGCTCCTTTCAAAGTGTATATGCGGCTGTTAGCCGAGGATCTTACCGTCAGTTGCGATTCTCACTGGAGGATCGCCACGAAATCGTTTCCCGATACTTTAAATTAGTCGAATGTTGGACCGCGTAACAATGAAAATTATTACAATTGAAATGAATAAAATTAAATTAATAAAATTAAAATTATTAAATTAACCCTTTGCACTCGAAGCTGTTTTAACTGAAAATATAAAATCATTTTTCTAACTTATAATATTTCTACTTTATATGACAAAATGCATTCTATGCATATGAAATTGACTCTTAGGGCTCGTACAACAGTTACATTCTTAACAATTTTTTAAATTCTAAATTTTGTTAATATCAAAATTATCTTAAAAGGTGGTATAACAAATTTTAGCGGTGCCTCAGAGTCGCCACTCGAGTGCAAAGAGTTAACCGTTATCGCACCGATCAACAATATATCGTTGTTGACGTTGGCTACGCTCGAGAGAATGTTCATATTTTTCATAAATAACAGCTTTATTTCTTGATTTATGTTGCTTTTGACAATTTTTATTATAATTATCAGTATTTACAACATTTTGATAATTTCTTCTTGAAGTTTTACCAAATTACGTCAACCAGGTTTGGTCAACACTGAAATGCTGTTGACAATTTTTATTATAATTATTATTATTCACAATATTTTGATAATTTCCTCTTGAAACTTTACCAAATTACGTCAACCAGGTTTGGTCAACACTGAAATGCTGTTAACAATTTTTATTATAATTATTAGTATATTCACAATATTTTGATAATTTCTTCTTGAAACTTTACCAAATTACGTCAACCAGGTTTGGTCAACACTGAAATGGTTAAAGAGTTAGAATTATGACTGGCAGCAATCATCTGTATTTATGGTTTCCTAAGACATTTGAAACGTTGAACGCCGCTCAATCCAGTCGCCTCGCACCCGAACAATGTTCGTACCACGAATACAAATCAAATAAATGTTTCCCTCAAATTCGACTTCCGCAATATCAGCCACAATTTCTAACGTTCCCGACAGGGATGTTCGTACCTGTTTCCGTACATTTATCTCGAAATGATCTGAAACCTGTTTCCCTCTTCTACCAGCACAACAAACGAACGCAAAGTTCCAACAGTCGAAAGTTCAAGCCTGGAACCCCGGAATTTGCTCTGGTAGCGCGCAGAGACCGTTCGGAGCACATGTTTTTTCGGAGTCCAGATGCACCGGGCGCAACCCTCAGGTGTATAGAACCGAGGGGGATCATGCGTGGCGATGCATCGACCGTAGAGAGGGAAGAAGGAAAGGCTGTAGGCAGAGGCACGTTTCCCCTCGCCCCTCGCGGAGATACTGCTCGTAGAGATACCTAGGCGGCCGTTCTACCTGGCCTAGAGGAGCAAGGTAGAGAAACCGAGTGATCCACGAAGGACTCGTAGGTACAGCGAAGGCAAAGGTGGCGGAGGAGGAAGAGTAGGAGGAGTAGATGAAAGAAAGAGGAAAGCGAGCGAGAGGGAGAGAGAGGGAGAGAAGGAGGGAGAGAGAGAGAGAGAGAGGGGGGGAGAGAGAGAAGCGCGACGGCGAAGGAGTAGAAGTAGAAGAAGTAGAAGAAGAAGAAGAAGAAGAAGAAGAAGAAGNTAGGCGGCCGTTCTACCTGGCCTAGAGGAGCAAGGTAGAGAAACCGAGTGATCCACGAAGGACTCGTAGGTACAGCGAAGGCAAAGGTGGCGGAGGAGGAAGAGTAGGAGGAGTAGATGAAAGAAAGAGGAAAGCGAGCGAGAGGGAGAGAGAGGGAGAGAAGGAGGGAGAGAGAGAGAGAGAGAGGGGGGGAGAGAGAGAAGCGCGACGGCGAAGGAGTAGAAGTAGAAGAAGTAGAAGAAGAAGAAGAAGAAGAAGAAGAAGAAGAAGAAGAAGAAGTGGAGGAAGCGGCGGAAGAGTAGTCCGCGGGGCGAAGGGGGAGGGTCGAGGAGAGAAAGGAGAAGGGAAAGAGAAAGAGCGAGAGAGAGAGAGGAAGCTAGGAGTTGTCTTCTGGTCGGTGGAGTCGCGAGTGAGAGGGGTGGCAAGAGAGAGGCGAGGAAGTCTGACGGCGCGGCGGCGAAGGAGAAGGTGGAGAGTGGAGATCCACTCCACTCCACACTGCACTCCACTCCACTCCACTCCACTCCGGTGGTGGCGACTCCAACTCGAGGCTCCAGGTAACGTCGGCGGTGGTGGTGGTGGTGGTGGCGGGTACCGTGCGCGGCGGTGGTGGTGGTAGAAGGTGGAAAGGGAGAGGCCCGAAGGTGTACGAGAGGTGAGGAGAGACTGCTGGCCAGCGTGGACCTGTGCGTCGTTGCATGGCCGACCTGGAGACTCGCTCTCCGCAAGGTGAGACGCGCGGACCGAAGAGGAGGCCTCGAAAGATCGGCAGGAATTCTCGTGAAAGCCGCCTCTTCCTTTCTCGTCTGCGGACCGCCGGTCGAACTCGCGCGCACCTTCGCTGCCTTCGTCGAACGTGCCCGTGTAATCGCGAGTGATCCGTGAAACAAACCGACGCCGACCTCTCCTCGCTCTCTACGGCCAGGCTCGTTTAGACGAGCACACCGCGCTCGTCGTCGAGCTCGTGGGTGGATATACGCTTCCTCGCCGCGCGGAGTACGCCGAGCACGCCGAGTACGCGAAGACCGAAGGGGAATCGGAATCGGCTGACAGCGCCGGCCAGCTCTCGAGGAGTATTGTTGTCAGCGGCGGAAAACAGGTTGCCCGGGGGATCGCGTTGACTATAAACTTTCGGATTTTATGCGTTCGGAGGAACGACAAAGGAATCCGTTTCTCTCCCGCGCTCGGCAACTCGAACTCGAGACGGCCGAGAACGGGTTCGTGGAAGCAATGCCAGGCGGCCGCGGCGGACTGCGCCGTCAACGTGTTTGACAGTGATAACAGCGCGCGCGCGCGCGCGCACGCACGCCTCATCGGTCGGCTCGCCTCGACTCGCACCTCTCTTATCGGCGTCAAGCAAACCCGATCTCGCGTTGTACCGCGATCAGTCGATCTCATGGACACGGACGCGGCCGTCTCGAGGCGTCCGCTGACTAGCATCGCGCGTGGCCAAACCCGCGAGTGACTTCGCGTCCGCATCCGCATATCGATCGCGCTCGGATCGAGCTCGGACCGGGCTCGGCTCGAGCTCGCGGTTCTCGCCGCCGATCCACGACAACCGGTGCGATTCGATTTCCCTCCGAGCACAACCACGTGGACCCTGGGACGCCGGTTTTACGTGAAAGTGCTGCGATAGTTGTTGCTGCCGAATGCTCGCAGTGTGGTGCACGCAAAACTCCGGAGACACGGCAGCTTGTTTTGAAAGTGAACGTTCGTTTCCTTGAAGTTTCGTACGCGCTGCGCGTCGAATGCCTCGCCTTGGATATTTCGCCGGACCACAACGATCGCCTCTGAATCGGTGAGTGAATTTTCTCCGATCGAACCTCTCTCGGTCCGCGATCCGATACCCACGCGCCCTCGTGGAAACTCGTCGGGTGTTTACTCCAACTCGGACCATGTTTCCTTCGTCGACTGGGCCCCGTCGATTTTCGAGCAGTGCCGGTAACTTCCGTCGATCGAAGCTTCAGCAACTTTGCCAACATGTTTCTGTAGTTATGCGATGGCATAATTTCGTCTAATTCGACTATCGAGAAATGCGGGAGACGTTCAATGTTTGATTCGAACCGTGCTAACGCGACAGTGGCTAACGTCGATAATTCGGACGTTCGACGATTTAGTTTCGGCTTTTAGAGGATACCAAAGTTTAGTCAATGTTGAGGAGCAGTAGCTAAAGTCTCCAAAGAGGAGCTTTGCGAGTGCTATCGCTTGCTATACTTTCGGGAGTGCTATCGATGCAAGCGATAGCACTCCCGACTAAAACTTTGGAACGCGAATATCTAAGCAGGATTATCAGGTTTCCTAGCAAGCTAAAGGAAAGACGATTTCTTTCACCTGGCGATAACGATGCGACAGTTCGTCAATGTTTCTTCAACTCGCCTGTACCTCTGTCAAAAGAATATTGTCAATCTAGCCAGCAACTCCGATACTCGAGTGCGATAATTATTGCAATAAACGCGTTCCCCTCGTCGCTCGATCCGAGAAACCTGTCTAAGCTCGAAGGGCTGGAAATTCGGCAAAATTTTCGTAGCACGTAAGATCTCCAAGGTTCTCTGTTCTAGCTCTCTAGTAGAGAGTCGGTCGCCGTCTTCGAGTTCCGGCGACTCGGCCGGTAGATCGGCAACGGCGAAAGTTTCTGGAGAAACGGCGCGGCGTCGAGAGACAGAGTCCGCGGGGCCCGGTGGATCGACATCGACACGCCTTAACATTTCTTGCGTACATTCTTCCCTCGTGCAACACAGGCCCGGAGTATCTTGGCCGGAGTCGGAGCTCTCGGCGAGACGTGGCCCTGTGTGACGCGCTTTGGCACCGCCGCGGCCGCGCCGCGCCGAACCGAGCCGAGCCGAGCCGCGGTTGCCGCAGAAACGCGGTCCGGTCGCACGCGTTTTCGGCAAAAAGCCGAGGCATACCGAGAGGCCTCGCTTTCCAAGCGACAAGATTTATAAAGGGCCCCGGCCACCGTTCGGTGCCCGTGTTTCTTCGTCGGAATCGCGCGCTGGCTAGACTTTCACGTGCGCGGCAGCCCGCGACGCACGTTCGCCCCATAAATTCCGACCCCGAACGTAAACAGATCCGCGGAACCATTTGTTCGCTGTCGCGGACGATACGTGACCAGATATATAGGTTTTTACCGCGGCGACAAAGATCGGCCGATCGCTCTTGATCATCCTGACACCGCGGTCACCGGCGAAAACGTGTGTGCCCGGTGCCACATAGGACCGTTGCGGCCCGATCGCGGGCCGAATTAGCGCTCGATCGACCTTACTCCGATTTCCCGGCACGCCGCGCCGCGGTTGCGCCCGCAATCCGATCTCCTCGTCAGAAGTGTATCGGGCTCGTGATTAACGGTGCATTCGATCCAGCGAGCGAATGTAAACGGCTCGTCTACATTTCAGATAAATTGTCGCGCCCGATACGGTAATGTCTCCCTTACTGACGCTCAGACTCTGCACAAAAATGTCAGTTGTCCACGATGTTCGAAATGTGTTGGGTTTTCTCGACATGCGGTAATGTCTCTCTAATTGACGCTCGGATCGTCCACAAAAAGTGGACAATTTGGGAAGAGGAGATACGATTATTCGAACCTTGCAGTTAGTTTTTACAGTTGCCGATCGTCAACGATCATAAAAACGAGCCGCAAGCTTCGAATAATCGTATCTCCTCTTCCCAAATTGTCTATTTTTCTGCACAATTTGGGTGGCGATTAGGGAGACATTACTGTAGTCCGTGCTGCGAGATCTTCTGGGACACCGGTGAAACCCGGAGCCGCTTTTCTAGCCGATTCCAGAGTAGCTTGAGCATTTTTCAACGACTTCCGGGTCACTCGGCGGCACCGAGACGCGTGCAAAGAAAAAGAACACCACTCGCCGATCCAGATTTAGCGACGTAGATTAAGAATCGCGGACTGAAACGGTTTTCTCGACCGCAAGTTGAATGAATAATTGGCCAGGGTCTACGGAAACCTTGCTACGACCCTGTTCGAGATCTTTGCTTATCGAAAAAAAGAGATTACATCCAAACCTTTTCGAGTACTTTCAGCAATTTGTCTCGGTGTTTTCAATCGCTCAGATTTCTCCGTTATACTTTATCTAGCGTAAACCTACTGATAGTACGATCGTGCTACAAACAGAACTTTCGGTAGCCTCTATCGAATAATGGCGGAAAGAAGATCGTTAAATCACTCGGTACGATTCTCGTGGACTAAGAATCGATTGAATAATCGTGCTACAAACAGAACTTTCGGTAGCTTCTATCGAATATTGGAGAAAAGAAGATCGTTAAATCACTCGGTATGATTCGCGTGGACTAAGAATCGACTGAATAATCGTGCTACAAACAGAACTTTCGGTAGCTTTTATGGAATATTGGCGAAAAGAAGATCGTTAAATCACTCGGTACAATTCTCGTGGACTAAGAATCGACTGAATAATCGTGCTACAAACAGAACTTTCGGTAGCTTCTATCGAATAATTTCGAAAAGAAGATCGTTAAATCATCGGTACGATTCGCGTGGACTAAGAATCGACTGAATAATCGTGCTACAAACAGAACTTTCGGTAGCTTTTATCGAATAATTTCGAAAAGAAGATCGTTAACCAGTTAACTGCGTTTGACGAGTATACCCTGACGGGTATATTGGCGGGAGAAGTGGCAGTATTTCGTGTTACGACGAGTACACTCGTCGTGCGTAAAAAGTAGCGACCATTAGCTGTTTAAATCGTAATTTTTGTGAAAACAAAAACATATTCTGAAATTTCAAGATGTTTAGAATATTTTCAGGCCAGACCAGAATAAAACAAACAAATAAAACATACGAATAATTATATGAATAATTCGCAATATCGGTGTTCGACATGCAATGTACCATTATGTATCGTTCCTTGCTTTGCTGAACACCACTCTACAGCACCGATTTGAATTTTTAGCTTTCATAAGTATTTGATTTTTCTTGCGTTTTTCGTTTGTTATGTATGCAATATATGTTAATGTTGAGCGAATAAGTAAATTAGCAATAGTAGTAATAAGTAATATTAGTAATAAAATTGTTAATTTTATAAAATAAAACCGTATGTTCGATCCGATACTTCAACAGCGACACTTACTCTGTGTTCGACGAGTATACTCGTCATCGCTTGATTCTCGCGACACATATAGGTGCGCGCTTCGAAAAAAGGAGGCGCCACAGCTAACTGGTTAAATCAATCGTTACGATTCGCGTGGACTAAGAATAGACTGTAAAGAATAGACTAACAGGTAGCACGTCAAAGATCAGCTCTCGCAATTTCGTTAAAGATTGCCGACAGTTCCGCTTTTGTTCGACAAGAATTCGTCGGCTGCACTTGGCTCGATGTTTCCTTTATCTAGGCCTCTCGATAAGTTTCTCCTTTCGACATCGGCTCGGGGGAACACTTCGAGCATGATTTCCTTGTTGCCCCGATACGCCACGTTCCAATTGCTCCGCGAACTCGTTACACATACGTAAAACGTAAACGAAACTCCGCCGGCGATATCCAGGCCTTCGGCCACGCGAATTGCACAAGCCTGGAATTTCTTCTCGTTCTCGGCACCCCGGTCTTTCCGGGCTCCCTGCTCCCGGGGACCTAGAGGCCGCCTAATGTTCGCTGGATCGTCAGTAGCTGCCGGAGACTCGAATGCCGGGGTAAGAAGGGAAGCCCGCACGCTTATGTTCCCGGCAAAACAGCGCCCGTTTGGAAAACATCGGCCATGGTGGGCATGTGACATCTGCCATGTCGCCGGACCATTAGGTGGCTTACCTTTTCAGACCTCTATGGCCGCTGGGGGAAAACGTCCCACACCCTTCTTTCCCTCGAAGCCACTCTAGCTACCCTTTGCCGCGGCAACGCGTGCTGGAAAATACGCAGCGATTGGAAAGTCCGCGGAGACTTTATTCTCGTCGAATAGGACGTTACATTTTCTTCGAAGCATTTCGAATTGCTCGGTTTAGAAGTGCTCAAAAAGTCGCATGTTCGAACAAATTACTTGTTTCGAACTTGTTCTGCATCTTCGACGGTTCGAAATGTGCTTCCAAAGTAGGCGGATACTGCGAATCCACTCCACTAACCTGTTCGTAACCAGCTAACTGTGGCGATCTCTTTGCAAAGCGCCCACCAGCGTGTGTCGCGATAATCAAGCGATGACGGGTATAGTCGGCAAACACAGAGTAAGTGGCGCTGTTGAAATATTGGGTCAAAAGGACGACTTTATTTTAAAAAATGAACAATTTTATCAGTAATATTTACACAGTCGATCAAAATGAAAAATCAAATATTTTTATTAGATTATTATATATAATAGATTTATTAAATGTATATATATATATAATATAATATAATAATATAATAATATAATGTAATATAATATAATATATATATATATATATATATATATATATATATATATATATATATTATTATAATAGATTTATTAAAACAAATATTTATAGAAGTTAAAAATTGGAACTGTTGCTGCCGTGTGATATTCACGGAAACAAGGAACAACGCATAGTGGCACTTTGCACAAAATCCAATTTTCCGAAAACTAATAAATCGCCAACCTTTTCCTCTCCATCCCCGATGAGTCCTCGAACTGCGCTGCATGGCAACAAAAATTGCCTGCTCCAACGCAAAGATGCCTTTGGCAACTTTGTTTACACGAAAGTAAGACTAGTAAAAGAAAAGAAGTGAGACAGCGCGCACATTAGCTCTTCCCCGGGAATCACTGCAGATGGAGAATCTAATATACTTTGGGGGGGGGGGGGGATTTGATACATCAAGATGAAAA